AGTTTTCTCAAATTTATTGGAATTTATAATGAGAGGCCTTTTCCCAAATTGTTATACCATTCAACGTTTGCCTGCTAATGTTTGAATGAAAGTTGTGCGTGCAAGATTTTTTTTTTCAGAAATTTTTGAGACTGCTGGAGCGGAAAAATGAAATGGAAGAAAATACAAATTACGGGGTAATAAACTGCAATGCCCAAAATTGCAATAAAAAAAACGTGTTATTATGTTTTGTTTCTTATTATTGTTATGTAGAATTAGTTTATTTATCATATTTGAATGGAAGAATAAAATAAGGATGAGCCTATACTCATGCTGAGACAGTTGCTAGTCTGACTCCATTATTATTATTAGCCATACAAGGCTATGGGAAATGTTTAAATTATGGAAAAAAAATTCAGATTTCTAATTTTAAAAAAACAAAAACAAAAAAAATAAATTTTATATGTAATTTAAAATGTGATTTTTGCATACATTTGGCCTTCCAAACTAAGAATTTTAAGAGGATAAATTAAAGCTTGGATGGCAATAGGATAAATTATTCTATTCAGAGCGGATTCCAGGGTAGGCAGAGTTCGGAGGAAGATTGAAATGTAAAGTTTATGTTAAGTTTTGGTTGAAATGAAATTCGAATCATGCTCGTGACACTAACTTTTTCATTTCAATCAAAACTTACTTAAAAAGTTTAAATTTAATGTTTTAATTTTTCCCTTATATGTAACAAATAGTTAAAAAAAATAGGTTGCTTAGAGTGTATAATTTTAAACGTTGTTGATAAGATGGTCATTTTTCTGTCATTTATCGTATCTTAACATATTAATTCTTTTAAATTTATCATATTTTAGCCTTAAAATGTATCTAACACATGCATTTTGTGCTGTTTATATATCACATTTGTTTGTATCGCACAAATCAGGCATTATAGCTGCACTGTATCGCAAATGAGGTGTTATGAATGAATTATTTTTAATTTTCTTTCAAACAAATACATTACTAGTTGATATGATTTTATTAGAGAAGTACAAAAGTGAACAGATTTTACTAACAAGTCTAGTTTTTTTATCCAATTGAGTTTATGATCTTTTGAAAAACCTAGTATCTTGAGTGTATTTTTATTACATTAGATTACATTTACTAGGATCAATCGTTAAAACATAATTTTATGCCCATTCTTTAGCGTTAGTAGATCCTGGTTGACTTTATTTATTCATTCTAACTTTGAGCTTACATAAATGTTAAGATCATCGGTGAACATTCCATGATCACATTTAGATATAGCACCTGTTGATTTTATTGACATACAAAATGGCTGACAGATTTGTTCTTTGTGGAACTCCAGGGTTTATCGTTTCCCAAGGTGAAAATTCATTTTTAAATGTTTGTATGCACACCAATTAGTAAAATTAAATAATTTTAAAATAGCCAACAATAGTTCATGATTTATACTATTAAATGCATGTTTAAAATCAAAGTCTGTCTAAAATTATATCTGTGAGTTCAATAAATGCTGTTTGCGTACTGTGATTGTCTAAAAGCTTATTGATTAATTTAATAGTGGTAAATTATTGGTTAAGAATTTATCCATTTGTTTACACATAATTTTATAAATTTTTTTTAGCCAAAATCAAAAAAATGCTAATAGTACAGTAAGATTCACATTTGTCACCCGGGCATTTTTTATTAGGTATAATGTATGCTTTCTTTGAAATATCAGGGTAAATTGAACTAGAAGTAGAACCTCTATAGATGTGACATAAAATTTCAGAGATTAATTATTATTTTTTGGAATGAGAATGGAATGCCATCTGGTCCAACAGAATTTGATTTTAAGTTATTGAAAGCTTAAGTAATTTCTATATCTGTTATTTAGGCTAATTCAAATTTGCCTGTCAAAGAAGGAATAAGGTTATTATAAGAATCAATTTTGTCTTGATTGACCGCATTATTAATGCCTGGCTGATAGAAATAATTATTTAAGATATTAATATTAATTAATTAATCTTTATGTAAGGTGTTGGTTCAAATGAAAAAGTCAGTGTCACGATAGCTCAAGTGGTAGAGCAGTGGCGTATTTAGCCGAAGGTCGTGGGTTCGAATCCCGCTCGTGACGCTGACTTTTTGTAAAGTATTGGTTGAAATTAAAATGGTCTTTATCGTGCCAATGTTTCAATCTTTATTGAGATCAGCTTCAGGGCCTGGGATTTGTAAACATTGTTTAAATTGTACAAATACATGTAGGATGTGAAAAAATGAATTTATAAAATGAAAGAAATTTTAGACTCAATTAAATATTTGTTTTGATATAGACAGAGTTAGAGATAATAAGATAGATAGATGGATAGATAAGGAGAGAGAGAGAGAGAGAGAGAGAGAGAGAGAGAGAGAGGGGGGGGGAGAGAGAATAGTTTTAGAAAGGTAAAGGGACAGAGATTTTTTCATAACAACCAAATAAAAATTTACATTCATTTAGCTGTAATAAATCAATAAAGAAAGCAATTATATAATTATAAAATTTACAAACAATGTTATAGATTAGAATAGAATATTTTATTGTATTTTAGCCTTATATACATGCATATACAAGGGATGCACATTTTGTTTTCTCTCATATTTTTACATAATTACAATACTTTATCCATGCCAAAAATATCTACATATGTACAGTGCAACACCATTAACAATATACATAATTACATTAATATCTTTCAATTAATTAAGGTTTTTAGTTGAGATAAAAAAGTCAGTGTCATGAGCGGGATTCGAACCCACGACCTTCGGCTAGATACGCTGCTGCTCTACCACTTGAGCTATCTAGCCGAAGGTCGTGGGTTTGAATCCCGCTCGTGACACTGACTTTTTATCTCAATTAAAACCTTAATTAATTGAAAGATATTAATTGGTCAAGCGGACCACCAGAATTAGTGAATTTAATAATTTTTAATTTTAAAGATAATTACAGACATATAAAGTTAAATTTTCATCACCAATTAATCCTTATTTGCTTAATGGTCATAACTGACCATATTAATTATTCCAATTAATTATTCTTTTTATCTAAGGTTTTTGGATGAGATGAAAAATGAGTCTCACGAGCGGGATTCGAACCCACGACCTTCAGCTCAATACGTCGCAGCTCTATTGTGACAGTGTGATAGGTGTCACAATAGCTCAAGTGGTTAGAGGTGCGGCGTATTGAGCCAAAGGTCATGGGTTCGAATCCCGCTCGTGACACTGACTTTTTTATCTCGTAACAAAACAACAAAAATACTTTTTTTAGAGGCAAATATTGATGGCTCTTCCTTTTTTCTTTTTGGCTTCTTCTTATATTCGTTTTTATTTTATTAATCTTCGGCTTGCGTCTAAATTGTCCCTTTCGAAAACTCGATTCAATCTGGCTCTTCTTCTTTTTCTTCTCTCTTCCCTCTTCTGTTACGCCTCCTACCGGTTGGCGGGTATTTTAAAATTTTATCGTCATAAATTTTCCTTCTAATAAAAAATTCGCGAAAAGCTTTTTTTGTGCAAACAACATTCAAAAACTATTTAATTAAGGTTTTTAGTTGAGATAAAAAGTCAGTGTCACGAGCGGGATTCGAACCCACGACGTTCGGCTAGATACGCCACACCTCTATTTTTCAAATGTCGTGTAATGAGGATTCGATTCTCGGCAAATTCATTGAAAAGTGGGAAAAAGGAGGGAAATTCGAAAGGTAGGTTGAGATGGGAAGTTAATGTCTGAGTGGATCGAGGATCAAGTGGTTAGAGCAGTTTCGTATTGAGCCGAAGGTCGTGGGTTCGAATCCCGCTCGTAACACTAACTTTTTCATTTCAACCAATAACTTACATAATGATTATATTAAAAACTTCGTTAAGTTATCTCATGCTGAATTTTCATCACCTCATTAAAAACTGTAATAAATCTATTAAGGAGCAAATCCTGAAAAGAACTTAAAAATGTGAGCAAAAAAACAAACTTGAATACTACACTTAATATAATAAATTCAGTAATTAATAATTCTTTATTACCATTTTTATATAATGTTATGTATACATAGTACATACTTGTTATATATATATATATATATAATTTTTTTTTATAGAGAGAGAGTGTGTGTGAGTGAGAGAGAGCGAGAAAGAAAGTAAGAAAGAGAGAGAGAGAGAGAGAGAGAGAGAGAGAGAGAGAGAGAGAGAAATTGATTGATAGATGCAGATAGATAGAGATAGAGAGAAAGAGAGAGTGAGTGAGATGGGGAGGGAGGGAGAGAGAAAGTGAAAGAGAGGGGAAGGGAGGGAGAGAGAGTGAGAGGGGGAGGGAGGGAGAGAGAAAGTGAAAGAGAGGGGAAGGGAGGGAGAGAGAGTGAGAGGGGGAGGGAGGGAGAGAGAAAGTGAAAGAGAGGGCGGTGGGAGGGAGGGAGGGAGGGAGAGAGAGAGAGTGAGAGAGAGAGAGGGAGAATTCATGGAGGGAGTGAGAAAAAGAGAGAGTTTGATTGAGAGGGTGAGAACAAACCAGATAAATAACTAATCAAAAACTAATCAAATCAATGTTTTCAATAACATACAAATATTCTTTTTCTGGCCTTAGGCCATGCAAGTTCAAATACAAAAAGTCTATTTTCTGTGTAATTATCTCACTTTCTTCTTCTTCTTTCTATTATAATCTTTAACTGACCCAAATTTGTAAGGTTAAATTTATAACAGGAATGCAAATATTACTGATTTTTTTTTCTACTTCAAATATCCAAAAGTTACTGCTACAGATACGAAAAAAAATTAAAAATTTGTGTTTGACGAATAAAAACTGCCCTGCAGACTCTATTTTTAAAATCGGAAATTTAATTATGTTATTTAACTCATGCAACGGCCCTATAATATATATGTAATTATAAATTTCGTGATAAAAAAGTTATCTTATTGATATCCCAAATCTTGCCTAATAATGAATCAAATAACGGGTTTAAACGTTTATATAAGATGTTTATTGTCGGAAGGACTGATAAGGACTTTTAAACCTTAAAAAACTCCAGTCTCACACGGTCTTTCACCGAAATAAAATGTCATCGCTGTTCAGAACTGTTATCGCTTCTTCAAAAGCTCCGAAACCTATCGGACCTTACAGGTATATTTAATAATTTGATTTTTAAACTTAAAAATGCTACTTAGTGCTTAGGATGTTGCGCGTGGTGTGGTGACGGATTGATGATGGACGTTCCATCTGGTATGCGGCTATTGCCATCGGAGTTCCATACGAAACTCTGCGAGACGCTTTTATACGTTTTCGAGAAACTGGGTCTTACCATAGAAGGCCCGTTTCTGGCCGCCCAAGGGTAAAAGAACCACAGGATGACCTTTTTTGACTTTGAGAATTTTGCGAAACCGGCACCTTACTGTTGTTCAAGCGATTCATCGCTCCAGGAAGTTGGAGGTATCCAAATTTCTGAACGCACTGCTCGAAGATCAAATCAGTATGGACTGATGGCTTTTCGCCCCGTCTAAAGACCAAAATTGACCAGAACACAGGTGCACGGCTCGCATTTCCTCGAGAACACAGCCACTGGTCTTTGGACGATTGGTCTGCTGTGGTATGGTATGGTGGAAGGGATGCTAGGAAGCGGGGCTTGTATTCCCCTGGCACTGCAGCCTTCTGGCTTATTGTACCTTCCCAGTTCCCTAATTTAGTCAATAGACTCAAGTCTGCTGTATTTTTTATAGTTGAGTGTAGATTTGCTCTACGATGTCCAGATGGGCGTGAAAGAGAGTAAAGAAGGCGAAATGAAAGGTACGAAGCCTGTAATTTTTCCCAGAGCCAACCTTTTCAACGTCGCTCAGTGATGGCGTGGGCGGGTGTATCAATGGGGAGTCGAACAGGGTTGGTTCTTGTTCGTGGAGCGACGGCCACTCTGTGGATGAAATTTGGGAACATCGTGCGTTGCCTATCCTCGATGAAATCAGCAACAATCCTATTCTCATGTACGATAATGTCCGTCCACATGTTGCATAGTACAAACGTACCTTCAACAGCATTCAACAGTTTCTTCCTGCCATTCTTCTGCACACCATCAAAGCTCGTGTCGTCTTTGTGATGATGAAGCTGATATGTTTCTTAAATGTTAGTGTTTTATCTAGTATGATGCCCAGATATTTGACTTCATTTTTGATTTCTATCACAGTGTTGTTTAGTTTGATTTCTTTCATGTGATCTAGCTTTCTTTTCCGTGTAAAAGTGACTATAGTTGTTTTGTTTGGGTTGATCCCCAAGCCTGCACTTTTACACCATTCTTCTGTGATTTTCAGTCCCTCTTGGATTATATCACAGAGGGTTTCCTCGAATTTTCCCCTGGCTGTCAGGACTATGTCATCTGCATATCCCTGACATTTTATTCCTGAGCGGTTCAGGGTTTCGAGCAGTTCATCAACTGTTAGGCACCATAAGAGAGGTGATAATATCCCTCCTTGAACTTCTATAGTGTTTATTCCTATATTTGTTTCAGCTACTCTAGTTCTTAGAAGTTCTCCAATCCATCTAGATGTGGTTTGGTCTACGTGTTTTTTCCCCAGGGGACTTCCATTGATACATGAGATGCATTGTCGAAAGCTCCCTCAATATCGAGGAACGCGCAGATTGCTATTTCTTTTGTTTCCAGTGTTTTAGGTCACTGGTTAGTTGGTACAGTGCAGTTTCTGTTGATCTTCCTGCTCTGTATGCATGCTGACAGTAATGGAGAGGCTTGTTTACCAGTGCTGTCGTTCTTATATAGTTGTCTATCAGCTTTTCAAGGGTCTTTAATAAAAAGGATGTTAGGCTGATTGGTCTGTAGGATTTGGATAGGTTGGATTTAATTTTTCATAGATAGAGGCTCTATCCGGATTCGCATAGCTACGTCGTGACAAATGAAGCGGTTGAAAATTTTTGTTATCCAGACGGAACCGAAAATTGGTGTAACTATCGGGCTCGAAATGAAATTTCAAAATGGAGTTTGAAGTAATGTTCTTATTCACTTGAAAATAGACCAGTTGGTTTTTTCGTAACTGAAAACGGTTTGACGACCCATGGTCTTGCAGCATTTTATCTCTAACTGTTGGAAACTAGTGTACAAAGTACATATCCAAATTTTAAAGCTGTTCACATATTTCATCGATAAACGTGCCGTACGCATGCTCCAGTTTGTTTATTATTGTATTATCATATGTTTACATAGGAAGCTTAATTGACAGGTAGTCAATAGTATGTGGTTTTACTGGAAGCATGAATAAAAGGAGCAGGGAAATTCTTTTAATTTTCTGGTTTAAAGTTTTTTTTATGAGCTTATTTTTTGAACTAGGGCATAGCCAGAACCAAGCCCAGTTAATAACGGAGGAGTAGATTACATACTTATGGTGTGAACTTTTATAAAATACACAACCTTTTATTTTTATGCTGCCTATTTTATTTTAAGGCTTTTAAGGAACCAAAAATTAATTTTTCACTTAGGATCTTATACTGTTATGGAATTTTAATAAATTGGGGCTTTCAGCCTGGTGAACTTTGTTTTTGAATTAGTACATTCGTGCATTTCATCAGTTTGATGATCCTGCATCGGATTTTTGCTCTGTTTTAATATAATTTCAATTCTGAATATCGAACAAACTAGAAAAAAGAAATGACAGAGAGCAGAACGCCAGGAAGAAAGCTGAAAAGTTAACTTCCACTATGCTGACCAAGAAGGACTAGGAAGAAAAAACAAACAACCCATCTAAAACTAAATGAAAAGAATGTTCTAATTGTAATGCACAACATCGACAACACTTTTACCTATTTCAAACAAAAAACTTGTTTTTAAAAAAGTCTAGTGGAGTACATTTTTCCATTGTTTGTTGATTTAGTGCATACATGCACCGATGTTGCGGAGTCGGTAGACTCTCAGCAGACATGGCTGCCAGCTGCACAGAGTGCGAGAGATGATGCTGCGAGTATCGATATTGCTTTAGTCAGCGCAGACGCCTTGCTCTATAAGTGATAGTTGAGACCTAAAATAAGCAGGTAGCCCTTGTTTATCTACAGACCTCCTACTCATCGACTGCAGCAAGACCATTGTTGAAGCAGTTGTGACACCTGGTAGATAACTTTTTAGTGACTGGGAGTTTTGGCCAAACTGAACTGGCGTGCCCGGCTGTGCCGAATATTCGTCCGGTCCAAATTCCATCGCGCCACTTCAAATATCTACCGCGCGACGACGGCTTGGCGCATACATGAATGGGAAAACCTGGCGTGGATCCATTTTGAGAAGGTAATTCACTGGTTGACGTTCGGAGCCACTGGCTATGGAGCGGTCGAGAATGCCTCCTCAAATTACAGGCACTCCAAATGGAGCTGTACGGCTTGGCGCGGTTTCATTTGGAGTGATCGTGAATGGCCACCTTAAGGCCGAGACCATGCGAGTGGCGCCGTTGGTTGTAGTGTGTGACAGAGTAAACCGTTGGCTGAGGTCCGGGGTTGACTCCACAGAGGCCGAAGTCCTGGAGTGCAGCAATTAGCCGTGAGCAGCGTTTGGCGTTTATAGCCAAGTCGGCTGTATATATAAAGCGAGAATCAGGCTAAAGGTGTGAGTACCCTTGCTGTCGTCGACGTTGTTCCATTAGTGATAGCTCGTCGGGTTGACGAGTCTGCTGACGTTGAACAGTGATGAATGAGACCTCGTCATGCCGACGAGTCTGCTGTCGTTGTTGCCGATGTCGGTTACACTAGTGATTGGTGAGATCTCGTCGGGTGAGTGTTGACGTGTCTGATTCCAGCTAGGCAGTGACCCTCCTTATATAGGGAAGAGCTCTACTCTGATTGGCTGCATAGCGGAGGGCGAGAACATTCCATAAGTGGTTGTGGCATCTAGCGGTAACGTGTATTAACTACAAGTGGCCACTACAACTTGTTAACCACTGGTGGTGACCAAAATATAGATAATATAGATAAATGTTTCTGTTTGCCTTCGGATAACTCTTTGTAATGCGTTTTCAAAAATTTGCAGTCAAGCTGTGAAAGTCGGAAATACGGTATACGTTTCCGGATGCCTTGGAGTGGAGCCGACGACAATGCAGCTCGTGAGCGGAGGTCCGGCAGAGGAGGCGAAGAAAGCCTTGGACAACCTGAAAGAGGTGCTATCATGTGCGGATTCATCTTTGGGAAATGGTAAATATACGCTCAAAAGGACGATGGTATATCGCTAAAACCTTGTTCTAAAATTTCAGTTGTCAAGGCTACAGTTTTTCTTGACGACCTCAACAACTTTTCCACGGTCAATGAAGTCTACAAGAAATGTAAGTATTATTTATTAAAAAGTTTCGCCCGTGAAATGATCACTTTTTGTATTTTGGTTGTCTAGACTTTGCCGAGCCTTTCCCTGCCAGGTCGTGCTTCCAAGTAGCCAAACTTCCTATGGTGAGTGGTTTTTAGGATTTTTTTGCACACTACACATACTTCATGTATGTAAAAAATATCGATGTTACTAATAAATGTTACATCCTTATGTCGACAAATTTAACCTACACTAATAGAGATGTGTCTGAAATCCTACGATTCAAAAACGGCAATGGGAGAAGTGGATAAACTCTAGACGTGCGAGGCACAGCAAATTTGCTGTTCGAGTCAAAGAGGGCTAAACTCAAAGCACGAACTGATACGGCAACTGATAAAACATCTGCACCACATGGGTTTATTGAATGATGACCCTTTACTAACTAGGAGTGTTGGTGAGTCGTTATGTAAAGCCGTGACCGAGAGAGCGTTGGCTGACGTCCGGGGCCGTGGTCAAACATCGTGAGTCGGTAGACTCGGCAGTGGAAGAAAGGACTCGGGTAGCAGGTAGCCGAGATCAGCAGGTCGGCTGTGAGAAGGTGAGAACGAGGCTGATGCATCGAGACTCCCTTGTTGTATTAGTGAATGTTGAAACCTCGTCGAGGAGACGAGTCTGAACCCCCCCTGCTTATGTATTCCAGAAATGGTAGTACACACCTAGTGCGTACCGTGGAAACTGCAGGTAGTCACCACAACCCCATATTAAGGTTATGCAAAGGACGAAGAAACAATCTTCAAATGCCCAATTCAATGGAGGCATAACCTGGGATACAAAACCCGGAGAAAGAAATCGTAGCAACGATAGTTAATGACCTACCACTTTTTAGGAGAATGATGAATCATTGCACTCAACTAAAGAACAAGGAGAGTACAATAAGCCGGCCACACTTTTTAGTATCCATCATCAACACCATCAATGGAGATTTGCAACGATAATCATTATGCCAAAACCAAAATACCGATGTTTCCAACTAATCTGAACTCATGTTCGACCATTACCTCTACTAGTGTCTATCGATACTCAGTATATTAACCAATCGATATTTCGTATAACATCCATATATTCCGATCATTTATATTTGAAAAATATTTAGCTAATTATTAACGACAAATATGAACCAATTTAATCGATACTTAATTATTTTCATCTTTACTGGGTTATTATTCTGTACATTGACATTGATATTAATTATAGCCTATTTGGTAAAGGATAATAAATCATCTTTTTTATAACCTCCCCTGGTATTTGGTAAAAGAATGTATCGATTCTTCGTATTTAAAAAACTATCGGTATAAATATGTCACTAAATTTATATCGTTAATGAGAACCCATAGAATCTATGTTTTATTATTATCATCTCAACTGCGGTTCAGCATCGATTTTTGATAACAGAAAATAAATGACTTTTGTATATTTCTGAGTAAAATATGTATCTATACTCGATTTATCTAAATTATCCATATTTATCATTAGGTTATAACCTTCGTGGTTTATTTCTATCGCTATGTAAATCGATCTTTGTATAACCTCCCCTGGTAGAGGTATAAATATCTATACGCATATTATCAAAACTGTCATATTCTGTATAACCTCTGTTTCGGTGAACGAAATCTCATATCTCATATAACCATATTTCTTACCATACATTGTAAATAAATAAATTATATATATAAATTATAACCTATTTGGTAAAAGAATGTATCGATTCTTCGTATTTAAAAAACTATCGATATAAATATGTCACTAAATGTATATCGTTAATGAGAACCTATAGGATCTTTGTTTTATTATCATCTCAACTGCGGTTCAGCATCGATTTTTAACAGAAAATAAATGACTTTTGTATATTTCTGAGTAAAATATGCATCTGTACTCGATTTATCTAAATTATCCATATTTATTATTAGGTTATAACCTTCCTGGTTTATTTCTATCGATATGTAAATCGATATTTTTATAACCTCCCCTGGTAGAGGTATAAAAAATATCTATACATATATTATCAAAACTGTAATATTCTGTATAACCTCTGTTTCGATAAATGAAATCTAATAGGTAATTATACATGTTTTTTTCCTTTATATTGTAGTTTTACGAAGGTATGGTGTATCAAAACTATCCAAAAAATGTATAATCTCCCTGAGAGGAATTTGTTATGATTGATTAATTTTTTCTTACCTTGTTGTTTTGCGAAGTGTTGACTGTTATTCAAAATTATTCTTTCATTTCAGGGGGCAAAAGTGGAAATCGAGGTTGTAGCTATATCTGGGCGTTTGGAAACCAAGTAACCCGTATTTCTTCGAAAAAGGTGTATAATTTTAATTTTTAACTATTGAGTCAATACTTAATCATTAAGTTTAATTACAATTTGCCTTTTTTGAACATGTTTATGAAAAATAAAAGTTATAAAAAATATATTTCCTGTAGTGTACTTTTCAGTAAAATGTTTGAACCAAAATAAAAATTGTCGTACTTTTTTAAAAAAAGGCACTTAATACATTCCACACGTCGTGATTTCTTTGTTATTTTACATGTTTTTTATACATATAATTGTTTTTAAAATTTATGTTTAATTATATATAATTAAGAAGCTTCGATCACTATCCTTTGATCAGAGCTAATAGAAATGTTGTCCTTGACGCTTTGGTTTGTATCATCAGCCTCTTCTCTTGCTTCATTTTCGTCTGGTGCGTCGTCGTTCTCCTCATGGGCGTCAGTTTCATTGACCTCTTCACCACCTTCATTAGTGTTATTTTCGGCAGGCGCGTCGTCGTTCTCTTCATGGGCAACTTCATCAGGCGGATCAGCTTCACCATCTGCCATACCATCCGGTGCGCCGTTCCCTCTATTTTCTTCATTTTCATCCGGCCCTTCATTCTTTTCTTCGGTTTCCTCGTCCTCCGCTGGAAGCTCGAGCTCCTCGGCGTTCGTCTCCATTTCCTCCAATTCGATGTTCACCGTCGGCTCTTCGGTCTCGTCGGCGGTAGCTTGGGACTCGTCCATATCCAGCTCGCCACCGTTCATCTCGATAAGGTCCTGCTCGATCTCTTGGCGCATTTCGTGCAGTTCCGACGAGCCTGATGGGCTGGTGGCGTTTGATCTCGACCACACTTCAGCCGTGTGCATCTCTTGCTGGCTGCCCATGACCGAAGCTACTGCAGTCGTAGCAGCTGATCCCGTCCTTGAGCTATAATATTTTTAACAACATTGTGAATAAGGGTGGGATAAAACCATCAAATTTGTACATTGACTCTATATTTAGACACATAAAAAACTTAGTTTTTGATTTTAATCAACCATCATTTTAATTCACTTTTCCAATTTACCCAATTGACTTTGCAAGGTTAATTTCATTCATCGCTGAATGGGCTTATTGTATGAACAAGTTAACCAATTATCCAATGACATCATGTCAACTTGGATCCCAGATTGAATGTCCGATGACGTAGGCAAGGACATCTTGGATATCCAGCACATGACATGATTAATTTCTTTGCTCAATTGAAATGAAATATGAACTACGTTAACGCTTTTATTTTCTTAACCATAAGGTTTAACCTAACCGTCACTAAAAGTTAAGTTTAAATGAGTGTCAATAATCTTAATGTTTAATGGTATAATGACGTCACATGTCTGGTTTGTCTGCTTAAAGAAAAAATATTTGGTGATGGATATTTGTTCTAAACGTCATTGGGATTTTTCTTTTTAATTCACTTTTCCTATTTGCCCAATTGACTTTGCAAGGTTAATTTTATTCATCGCTGATTGGGCTTATTGTATGAACAAGTTAACCAATTATCCAATGACATCATGTCAACTTGAATCTCAGATTGAATGTCCGATGACGTAGGCAAGGACGACTTGGATATCCAGCACATGACATAATTAATTTTTTGGCTCAATTGAAATGAAATATGAATTACGTTAACGCTTTTATTTTTTTGACCATAAGGTTAACCTAACCATCACTAAAAATTAAGTTTAAATGAGTGTCTTAATGTTTAATGATATAATGACGTCACATCTGGCTTGTCAGCTGAAAGAAAAAAATAGGCGGTGATGGGTTATTTGTACTGAGAATAATGTAACTGGGATTTATGAAAATCTTTTAAATCAAAATGGAATACTGGAGGTCATTGAGCGTCTGCTAGGTGATAAGTACTTACGTCCGAGATCAATGGTCAGTCAAGCTGGCCGAAGTCAGACAAGTCCTAAGCCAGTTAATTATAATGCGGATGATGACCACAATAGCATAGATTGCTTCACCGATGGCTCACTCATTAAGGACAAGAGAAGCGGTGCTGGTATACATATGCCCAAATTAGAAATCAGCATCTCCTCCTCTCTTGGTAATAACACCTCAGTCTTTCAGGCTGAGGTCTGGGCCATCAGTTTGCTGTAGAACACTCAAGGATAATAATACTAAGGGAAAAGATATTAGAATTTTTTCCGACAGTCAGGCCAGTCTTAAGTCATTACAAAAAGAGTTATCTACATCTAGGCTGGTAGAGGAAACCGTTGAACTTATCAATAGGATAACTACTAGGGACGAGAATAGGGTAATCCTCATATGGATACCTGCTCATAAGGGGCACTATGGTAATGAAGAGGCGGACAGCCTGGCNTATATATATAAGCCAGTTAATTACCATATACATATACAATTGGTTCAAACGGATTTAAGAAGTTATAACCTCTCCTAGTTGGTTATCTAATCACGTCACTAACCTACATGGCCAATTGTCTTAATGATGTGCTGTAGCTCACTAGATGAACAAAATTAGTCATAGCTAAGCAGGCTAGGCAATCCAATCTGCAGGTATGTAAATAGGGCCTGATCGTCCAATGTCAATGTGGTCATCGCTAAGCTTTCTGTCCAGTTGTCCATTGAAACAAAATGGGCTTGGCTAACCTATAGTCAATAGCAAATATCAAACCTGCCTTGTCTATTGACATTGAATTAAATTGATCATTAATCCGTAATGTGAGGTTTTATTTGATGTAATTACTCAATTAATTAATCTAATACTCTTTTTTTTAATTCTTTAGCAAACTTTCGTTCATAGCAATATTTGTACATATGATACAGTCCGATTTTTTAGTTAATAGGTGAACACGTAAAAAATTTACCTTTATACAAACCTAGTTAAAAACAGATCACCACGACAACCAAAAATTGGGAAAGGGTATAAAAACTACTGGCTTTTGTATAAACAATTATTTTTTACAACGATTGACAAGTCTTTTTTGGCAATTTAAAAAAAAAACTAAAAAGAAAACAAAAATCTGTATGAACTCAAAATATGCATATAAAAAAAAAGAAAAAAGAAATTTGCATGCAATTTAATTTTTTTTTAACACAGCATGCAGTGTACATATTAGTCTATTACTTCCCAAGCTAATTTACAAAACAAAATTGTTTAAAAAAATATAATTTACAATAAGTGATAGTTACGTTGTGTCTTTTTATGTTAGAAAAGCGCTTATTTGATCAAAATGGCAGTATAATATGTTTCACTAAAAAAAAGGACATTACATTTCATTTTTATAACTTGGAATAAATAATAATATACAAATATTATGTACAACATACCTTGAAAAAAAAGTAAAAATGTGTAGTTTCATAGTACAAAAATAATATCAATAAAGTGTTAGATATATTGGAAATTATTATTATTATATTTTAGGAGTATAAGGCCACCGTAAACACAGCTTTCGGTTTAGATGAAACAACTGTAAATTTTTATTTTATATACAATTTATAAATAATCAACTGGTGCTAAATGTTTGTTATGTTTTGTAATTAAATTTGGCGACCATAAACGACCCCTTGGTACTGGGTCAAATGAGCTGCAGGGTGGATCAGGTCAAAAAAATGGCATTTACCAATTACAAAACGGCCAGATTGTCAACTGTAAAAGCAAAAAAAACAAAAATGGATACTGAAACCAAGCATTCTTTAAATTGTATTTATAAAAAAAAAAAAAATCATTTCTCTCACATAGGGAAAATATTAATTTAAAATTTTTAGTTTTTGCTTTCAATATCCATCACAGTTTCAAATTTACGAAAATCCAATCAAATAGGTATTTTTCTGTTTCTACTCCATTAAAAGCTAATCGGTGTACCAGCTGTGCGAGCACTCAAAAACCTGTGCTTTATTTTTGTCAAAAGTTCTCAAAACGTTTGAAAATTTGAACACAAGACGTCATTTATAGTCAAAAAGATCATTTGGGCGTTTTCACAATTATTATGATTATTAGGGATGGCCAATGATAATCTATTCCAAAAATATCGGTATTTTGAAAAAAAAAGAAACTATATCGACTGTTCTTACATTCAACTCTAAAAATGAATACTACAATATCGATATTTCTATAGTCGATAAATATTTTATCCATGCCAATTAGGAATGTACAAAATAACAAAATAAAATAAAAATACTTGTTGAAAATAATTACTTGAAATGGAAAAAAAATTGCTAAATTTATATAATAGAGCTATATATCGATAATCGATATGTAACAACTATTAATACAAAATATCGTTATTTATTTTCGATAAATGTTATATTCTTGTAGAAATATATTTTTGATTAGTGCCCGATAAAGCTGTGTATCGATAATCGGCTTATTAACCTATCGAACTTTTCATAACCTAACTGGGACGGATAAGAATCGATATTTAGTATATAAAATATCGATATTTATCTATGGTAAATGTTATATCGTTGAATTTTAGTTTGTGTCGATATCCGATCGATGTTAACTATCGACATATCGATATGATAAAATAGCATTCATAAGATTCAAATCGGAAATCAAATGATTCCGTATTGTTATTTAAACATCTATAGTATGACTATTAATTACTCGATATATCAAATTAATCGATACATTTTAATAGGAAACCTGGTAATATCGACATATGTTATAAACATTCTAAAAAAACATAAAGATGAGCAAATGTATATTCTTTAAATACTAATCCATTTATGTTTAGTGGTATAATTGACAAAATTACTTATTTCAATTAATTGCTATATTTATGTAAGGTCTTTAAGGATGAAAAAGTTAGCGTCACGAGCGGGATTCGAACCCACGACCTTCGGCTCAATACGCCGAATAGAAGTCACGATAGCTCAAGAGCAGCGGCGAATTAAGCCGAAGGTCGTGGGTTCGAATCCCGCTCGTGACACTAACTTTTTCATCCCAATCAAGTCCTTACATAAAAAGAATAATTAAGTATACTCTTTAATTAATTATTTTTTGTACAGTTGTTTTGATACTTAAATCAGATGATGACTTGAATATGGCTCTATTCCAACGTATCCATGCTTACTTTTTATTCTAGATATTTTTTGAAAATTTACAAATGTACTTTGTTTTCAAAATAAAAACTTCCGATATTTTGTTTTTGTTATCCATCCCTAATATAAATTTAAAGTTAGAAGAGGGTTCGTCGACCTGTATGGACTTAGGGGAGCCATTGTACAGGCCGTCCTTTGTGAAAACGCTTAATGATCTTTTATTGATTGCCAAATTGGTTTATTGCATTCCCTTCAATTACAATTAATTATCCTTTTGTCACGAGAGCCGGAATCAATGTTTAAAGGAGGGGGGAGTTTAAGTGCGGAAATTAAAAAAAAAATGTATTAGCAAAAAGAATAATCCGGCCGTTCATGTATTTTTTCGTTTTCTCTCCGCTATGCTTTTTGTCGATCACCTTGCATTTTTGTTTGTTTGTCCCACTTACTCCTCATCCGCTTTTTCTGGGGTCTCCTCCGGTTTGTCTTCCTCTTCCGTTTTCTCTTCCAATTTGTCGAACGCTTCCGCCATCTCTTCTTTCGCCTCGTCGACCTTCTCTTCCCCGGCGCCGATCAGATCCTCGAACTTCTCCTCGACGCTTTCAACGGCCTCTTCGACCTTCTCTTTCACCGTCTGGCCCATATCTGTAAAACGGAAGAGAGCAACTTTGAAATTTTGGTCACATCTGCTTAATCGGGACGCACACACACTATTCGGAACAAAGAAGGGACGAATTTACACTTAAATTTTCATAACCGGGCTTGGCCGACGCAGTTCTACTTGGAAAAGGGGAAATAATGCTCTTTGATGTCCAAGCGCTGACCGGTCAATACTTAAACCAAGTCCGGCAGAGTCTCGCCGCGGATCGATTGCTGCCAAAAAAAAAAGACCCGGACTCATAGTGATTCCTTCCATCTTTATAAAATAAACTACAACCTTATAAATTTAAAGTTTTCATATTACACACCGAAAGCTAAAATAAGAAGAAATACCAATGCTGTATTGGTAAGCAGTGTCAAGCAGTCCGATACAGTAAAGTTACTTAGTTTGTATAATGAAGTCGAAATAGGATGACTTGGCTAGCATACTTTGTTTACTGTCCAATGACAATAACTCGTAACTTGTAAAAAGATTTTGTCTAACATAGTTCTTCTATAGTCCAAAAAGTGGAAGTGGTTAACCTGGTTTTCTTCGGAACACGTCATAATTGCTAAGATGCTTAGCCAATCGCCTAATGGCGATTTAACCTAAAAAAGGTGAGCGTCACTAAGCTCATAAGGCTAAGGTTACAGCGTACGCGAGTTCTGACGACATTTTCTACGACTACGTCCGAAATCATCGTCAGAACACGGTGGTCACATTGTGTTTTCTGATAGTACGTTTCTGCCTCCCAGCAAAATGGACGAAAAATGAGTTTTATTTTCTTGAAAGTCCGTTGATTAAGTTATTGTTGATAACCCGTGGGAAAACAGGGCATGCCACTTATTTTCTACAAGAAACGATAAGGGAGTTTCAAACTTACTGCTAGTTCAATTAATTATTCTTTTTATATAAGGTCTTGGTTGAGGTATAAAATTTAGTGACACGAGCGGGTTTTTCATCTCAACCAAGATCTTATATTGAAAGAATTAATATAGTCACTTAGACCACTAAGGATAAATGGACTTACTGCTAATGTTGATTTCTTCAGCAACTTTCTCCCACTTTTGCCGAGTAATATCTCTGTTTTGATATTTTTTGTCTTTAATGTCTCAGAAACACCGATTTTCAAACACAAGACTAATCAATTTATCAATATCCATTGTGAAATAACCAAAACTCTCTAAATTCTACGTCAGAACGCACGAAAAAATCAAACTGGTTTGAACGCTCGAATGGTTCTGATGACACCTTGCGTCTTCTGAAATGCACCAAAGTAAACACTCACATTGGAAAGCAAGTGTTCGTTTATTCGGACGAACTCGTCAGAATAAATTATCGCCAGAATTCGCATCCACAGTAACCGTAGCCTCGGAGCGCAATGTCATCAACGTGGGCGTGTCTATCTTAGTTCGTTGACTAGTGATGTCATGGGATTTCGATGACGTCGGATGACGTCAAAGTCACGTTGAACCGGCCCACGGGCACTACTGGGTCTGTCTTCACTAGCGGGATTTTTTTTTTTTTTTTTAGTTATTCAAACTTATTTCGGCATTGCGCCATTTTCAGTGAAAAATAGTTAACTTAAACAAAAAACCGTCGAGAGAAGACAGGCCCAGAAGTGCCCGTGTGCCGGTTCAACATGAGTTCACCAACTTGTTAACAAAACCCCATCATCTACTATGACGTCAAAGTGGTAGTGGCTAATTTTGAATATTGACAACCTGACAGGAATTATAAGAGTACTTGCTTGGATTGAGAAGTCCACCTTCAAAATTTTGCGCATAAAATTGGCATCCGTATCAGAAAAAAAGTAATTTTTAAGTCTAGATAAACATTTATGTGAATTTTGATTGGTACTATTCCTTGTCCTTATTTTATATTCTTCTGATCTTTTATTTTATCAGTAATAAAATTAACTTTCAATATCACGTTTATTACAAATCCACTGTACATCATTATACCATAAGACCTTTTTTGATGATATAATGATGATACCTTTTTCCTCATTTGACCGTTATTATTCCTTAAAATAATACTTTATTTGAGCTACTCGGCTTTTTCCCGAAACATTTGAGCATTATGGTTTGAAAACTTTGAAAAAAAAAAGCTTATGCTTCGGCAGCGTGCAAAACATGGATTGTTTTCCCCTCTCATCGATGTTCATGCCTAAAGGCAATGTCGGTCCTGCCAGCCGAAACGACCGGGTGCGACTAGTTAAATTACCGACATCCTTGACCCATTTTGTTTTTATCTTATGGACAATTTTTCCACTCTTATCGCCGGCACATTTTTTCACTTGTTGGGCAAGGCCTAGTCTCGGACACGCGATTGTTTAGACCCACTGGACGTCTACATTGATTTTTTTCCACTCTGCCACGGCCTAATGTTCTTCGGCATCAGAAGATATAGATTTCCCTTTTCTACATAGATTTACCCGCAATACACAGGTTACATCGTTAAAAAATACCCGAAGGACAACAACACAACTGAGAACAATCCCAACCACCAGGTAACCTAATCAGCGGTCCTAGTTTATGCAACTGTCCAACATAAAGCGTTGATTAAGTAGGTGTGCCCCAAGCGGATTCTGTAATAATTATCCAATGATAGCAAGAATGAGGATGGGGAAATAGGCGGCCACAGATCACAGGACATGTAGGAGTGCCACCTACTGTGTCTGTCTCCATTCGCGGATTTTTGAAAGATTTAAACGAGTTTCGGCATTGCGCCTTCTTCAGTGAAGAATTAATAATCGAAATGCGAATAATTGAAAAATCGAGAGTGGAGACAGACCCAGTATGTGGCCCTGTGCCAGTTCAGCATGAGTTCACTGACTCGCAGACCAAAAACCATCAACTCCATGCAGGTTCTCCAATTTGACAATGTCAAAGTGGGGTGGACCAGTTTCAGGCAATATCCTAATGGTGGCCAATTCAGGGTGTCATTTTTTTCCTTTTTGGCAAGTGAAAAATCGATATTGGCCTGCGTACCTTTTGATCTAAAGAAAAGTTCTAAAACCAAGGTGTTCTAATGACTGTTTCTTAGCTTTGGCCTTGTCTTATTCGACGTTTTGCCAAATTTGCAAAGTCATAATGTGGTTATGTTTTATGTTCAGATAAACCTTGGGGGGGGGGGCAAAGCAAATGGACTTTCACTGCATTCTATTCCCAGAATGAATGCAAATTCGGATGAACAGGTTGCGTGATTTCTCCGAGGTTCCATGACCGCCAGCCGGGTTCGGACATTGGCCATCGACCGGAGACCGAGCTTTGCCGAGCTTACCGCTCCCGATTCGTAAACCTCGCATTTGACCCCAAGTGGAACAAATCTATTCGAACAAGAACACACGGTGCAAGGCAAGAAGTTGATAAAGTCTAGCGAGGAAATTCCCATTATCCGACCTGATAAAGGCAAGGTCTATCACTACCGTTAATGGTTAATTTAATTCAAATCAGACTGCACCGATTGATCTTCGAGGATTTGTAATCGACCATTCGACCTGAATGGACACCCCCTCGACACATTGTTTTAAAGCATTGCTCGAAAAGCGACACGGCCCGGTCGATAGAATTGCGTGCCTTTAAATTCTCTTGATTTTAATTTTTTTTCCATTTATTAAATAACAAAACGCTTTTCTTTACATATGTGGTGACTTACCACCTTCTCTACGGAAAGCGACACCTAGCGGGAAGCTCACCAAATTAATCAACAGTTCAATTATCTTTTCTGTTATCATAACTTATAAATAAGAATGTATTTATTATATAATTAACAATGTAAATTAATTATCAGTAGATTGTAAATAGACTTAAACAGATTGTATAAAACTTGGAATTAAAGAGAAAACGATAATCCAAGGCAGCCACTTCCCGCTCCTTCCAGTTCTCACCTCCGAAATACCTTTGGCTGCCAAGGAGTAAAAAATATATAGTTTTTGTAAAAACTAAAAAACGCAGTCACTAATACCAGCTAACCTGCGAAGAGACTAGTCCATCGGACCATAGAAGGATTAAGCCGAATCGGCTTAACTTCCTCATCACTTCGTCTTGCCAGGATTTCACCGGCTCTTCTCAGAGCCACACATCACTAAAGAACTGGAGTTTCACCTAGAAAACTAGAAAGGACCCACGGATCGTAAGAGCTCACGATCTCCGGGGTGCCCGGTACCAGTCGGATAGGTGGAACTCTACCCATCTTTCAACGGTCCTTTTCAGGACCAAAAAGCCTCCCACCGGCTCTACAGAGCCCTCGACTTAGGAGTGCCCTTCTCGTCTGCCTGAAAGGGGTTTCGTGCCGTAGAGCTCACGGCTGCGGGCTTCCCGGTAAGGCAGAATAGTTGGGACCTTCCTGGTCAATCCCGGCCTTTGTGAGGGTCCGCCAGGTTAACATCGCACGTAAGGACCCCAACAACATACATGCAAATTTACAAATTTCTCCCTGTTGACGGTTCAAATAGCAGAACAAGAATAAGTATGACGTGATTCATCTCTTATAGGAAAATTATAATAATTATTATAACATACCATAGCTTCGAAGAAAGTTATGTTTTTGTTGGAGAACCACCTAAATAAAAGGTCCTAAAAAAAAAAAAAAAAAAAATAGCTTTTCTAAAATTTTACCCAAAGTGGGTAGTAGACTTATTTGGCCTATGTGAAGTAGTAAAATGTGCTGGCGTTTTTGGCTTATTCGAAAATACGAATGCTTCCAAGCTACAAGGAAGTAGGACGTATGAAGAATAGTATTAAATAGGTATATAATGAGTATGATGATCTTTTTGGGAAGGTGTTGGAGAATTTTTGGGGTAATCAATTCAACCTTTCTTTGGTTTGAGGTGTCATATGATAGAATGAACGTCAGAAGGTGAAAAAGGTTTAGGAGGGTGGGATAATGGAATCGCCGAGTGTAGATTTTCCTTGATAAGTTGTGAATATGGTCTATGATGGCATGTGGGGTGAACACTGCGGTCAGTAAGAGGCAAAAGCATTATCTTTTTCCTCGTCTG